CCGCTCCGCTCGGTTGCTGCTGAGGGGATCCCGCCGTCTGCACCCTGCGGCCGGTCTCAGTTTCGCCGGTCTAGAAGTCCGAACCGGAGGGCAAATCCTAGGGCTTCGAAATTCGGCTTTCCCCATTTTGAGGCAGAAAATCCAGAACAGTTGAAACTTTTCGTTTGCGTCGCGTGGCGGAGTGCAACTTCACCTCCTTGGGGATGCAGGTTCCCTTACTGGACCTGGACGGGCTAGAAAATCGATTCCTAAGTTCTTCGTGAAGCTTGGCACACACATTTGTTTCTGCAGAGCACAGGTCACGGTGTGACCTTTTGAGAAGTAAAGTAGGTCTGCCCGTAGGGAAGGTCACTTGGCAGCGAACGGAGTGATGTATGAGGAGCACTGCAATAAGTTGGTCCGCGCAGCCCAGCAGTTTGGCAAAAGACAGCACCAACCAGCACTTTCTGGTAAAAACTGGCTAATGAACCTCAAAATATGAGGAAGATAGTTTGAAAATTCTCGTTTCTCTTAGTATTAGCTTGTCAATTCGAAATTCATAAATTTAAGTAAAACATTCTTTTCTTTTTCCTCCTTGTAAGGTAAAATTAGAATAAGATTAATGAAAATGTTTGTTCAGCGTAAGTGTTGAACAAGTACGTTGTCTTGCTGTATAATAGTATGCGTGATCTTGGGACCCGCCGTATTCCCTGGAGAAAGCGTTAAAAGGGAAAGCAGTGATCGTTTAATAGTCGATATTCTTGAATCTGACGCTGGTGGTAATCCTTCCCAGAAGGTTTATAACAAAGCAAATGTTCAAATACTCTTCTGTTGGAGAACTGCCTTGTAGAATGGATAACTGTACAGTGTCTTCAGTACATCAGTAACTAGCTCAGGCCAAAAAAAAATGTGACTAAGTTGCCCAGTTACTGTAATTATTAAGGAAGACAAAGTGCTTAAAATGTGTGTTGTGTACATTTGCCTAAATACAATTAATTCTCTTTCAAAAGAAATCCATCGTATCTCCTTTGGTCCAAACAAATGAATTAAAATCTGAGAAGTGCCTAAAAACTTGCCTAATATTTGTTAACTGTTTCATGTATTTTTCTTTTCTCTGTTGGTGGATGTTTATTTTCAAGATTTCCTTATAACAGTGCTGCAGTAATTTTTTTTTTCTATCACAAACATTCCTCAGGTGCTCATGACAGTATTTCCGTAGAATTGAGTCCTTAGGAAAATGCTGGGTAAAGTGCTAAATTATCCTCAGATGATTATATTCTTAAATTTACTCTCGCAAAAGGTGCGGTTTTTAACTCCTTGTTTGCTAGCACTGTATTTTGTAAATATTTCACCTATAATATATTTTGGTACTTTCTTTTGAAAAATGTTTTGAGTTCTTTTGTGTTTTTCTCCCAAGATGAAATTTAGAACCATGTTTTCAAGTTCTATACAAAATCTTGTTGAAATTTTGTAATTGCATTGAATTTATAGATTAATTTGAGAAGAAGAAACATTATTTTTTTTCTTCTAGAAGAATAGATATGCTTTCCTGTATCTTTTAGATTTTTTGTGAAATAAGGTAATATGTACTCTTTAAAAAGGATCTTGCCTAATGGAACACCACAGACTTTTTGTGCCTATTAGAAGGAAAACATTCTTTGCCCATCACCATGGAGTATTATTAATTTTATGTTATTATTGTGTTATTCTCTTACCTTCGTTTTACAGTTTTGTCACGGATATACATTTCCTTAATCAGTGTGGTTTTTTTTTTTTTTTTTTTTTTCATCTGTTTTGGCACTTCAAATAGAATCAAACTGTATATGCTGTGAACTGTTTTTCTTAAACATTATATTTTTGAGATTCAGCCATGTTGAAGTACGTGCCTGTGGTTCAGCAGTTTAGAAACTGTTTGGACTCAAGACTTCTTTGCATTTTTGAAAATTATTGAAGACCTGAAGATCTTTCCTTTATGTAGATTATATCTATTGATAAATATCACTTTAGACGATAGAACTGACCAACTTTAAATATACTGTATATACTTACATTTATTGGAACATTTAAAAAACCCATTATGTCTTAATGTAATTCACATTTTTAATGTAAAGTAATTATCCACTCCACAATATTAGTGACAAGAGTGACACTGTTTTTCGGTGGATTTTGTTTTATTTTGTTTTGTTTGTTTTGTGGTACTAGGGAATCAAACTCAGGACCTTGCGCTTTCCAGGCAGGCGCTGCACTGCTGAGCCATATTCCCAGCCTGTTTTATGGTTTTATAAGTACCTTTAATGTCTCTTTTAATCACTAAAGTTCTACTTTGGCATTTAGTCTGTTGCAGTATATTGTTTTTGCTGAAGTATAGAGAAAAAAAATCTGACCTCACATAATTAATTACCTTTACTGGTAATTATGTTGATATGCATCATTTTTATACTAACAGTTTCTTAAATGTTAGCTACGATGTAGGATTTGAAACCATGTAAGTGAACTTCTCATATTCTGACATTAAAATTTGAGGTCTGTCCTGCCCTTTAAAGTGCTTTTCTGCTCATTTATTGATCTTTTGTAATGTATTGGTTTACTAAATTACGTAGACCTTCTAAATGATGACATTCCATAATATAATATTTTAAGAATCACATGTATTAGCATTATCCCCCCTTTGTGAATCCCTGCTATATAGTTTGTTCATTTATGTTGAAATATATATTGTAACTAATATATTCTGTATTCATGTTGGCTATTTCCATCATTAGGCTGTTGTAGTCAGTTCTGCCATAAACATTCTTGCACTATACATAGCTCCAAGTGCATATATAAAATACATTCCCTCTGGCATGTTAGTAGTGGAATTACTGGGTCCATTGGAAGGCTATTAGATGCTGACATTTCCAAAATGGTAGTTCTGCTTAATCTTTCAGCAACAGTGAATAAAAACCTCTCTGTTCTCTCCATGTGTAATATTGCCCAACTTTTTAAATTTTGCTGGCATATTGAAAGTGAAATAATATATTATTGTGATAATAAACTGCATTTCTCATTCTAAGACAAATTGAATATTGTTTCATGTTTTTAACTAGTTCACTCTTTGCTTTTGTATTTAGTCATATATTTCTTACTTTTTCTTTTGGGTGCTTTTTCTTCCTAGTTTGTAGGAATTTTTTAACATACATTATATACAAATTGGTAAATTTTTCCTGCTACCAATCATGATTAAAATCTTTAAACAATTAAAAGTATACATTCAAAAATGTCTTTCTTCCCTGTACCTATCCAAGTCATTCCCCACCTTTCTTGTTCCTCTTAGTATTTTTTTTTTCATTTTAGAGCTTTGAGTATATGGATATGTTTTGTTTTGTTTTTTGTCTCTTTGAGACAGGGTCTCACTATGCTGTTCAGACTGGTCTTGAACTCACTTTGTAGCCCGGGCTGGTCTCCAACTCCCAACAATCCTCCTGCCTTAGCCTCCCAAGTGCTGGGATTACAGGTGTACGCCACCATGCCTGACTGAATATGTATTTTTATATTCTTCTTTACCCCTATTTTTTACTATACCATGTTTGTTCTCTACATATCCATAAGAACCAGAAATCCTCACAAGTAAATATATTGGGACTCACAGTTTTGTTGTGTGGCTGTACCAGTTTTTTAACTGTGGTAAATGGATTATTGGGTTTTTCTGTGAACTTGACTAGTCTTGGTTTTTTTTCTTCATTACTGATTTATTCAAATGTTTCTTCCAATTAGACCGAAATAAGTAAAAGATATTTTTATAATTTTTAAATATATTGGTGTAAGTTGTCTCAGATACTTTATAATTTAGAAATATTTTTCCTGTATTTGTGCTTGTATCCTTTGTTCCCACTATCATGTTTTCTTTTTTTTCTAGATCGTTTGCTAAAAGATTACCTATTTCTTACTAGTCTTTTTTTAAAAAATCAGCTTTTGCTTTTATTGGTTAACTTGATTGCATTTGTTTTTAAGATTGGTTTCTTTTTTTAATTATTGCTTTTATCATAAGAGATATGTTTGGGATGTATTTTCTGGTTTCTTTTAATAAGAGTTAATAATATTTAATTGGAAAACCAAATCCCTTGGTAATTGTGTTTTTATATTGGCAATGTGAAATAGAACCAGTTTAGAATCTTTGATGTACACCTGCTCCCTCACCTCATTAGGAAAAGGAACAAAGACCCCCAGTCCCTGAAGCCTAGTTTGTTCAGTTGAGGCACCTACTTCACTCCTGTGGAAATTCCATATTTATCTGTGCCTAGCATCATTTGAGGTGGGATATATTTAGAGTGGTGGCAATAAAAAATTATCTTTGTTCCATCATCATCATATGAGAATCCAAAGGTGGGTCTTAAAATGTAATTGCTACTGAAAGCAATTTATTCTTAGGATTTTCTAATAAGAGGGACAAAACCATTTAACAGTATAAATTTTTTTAAGTGTAGTAATGAGCTTGATGCAACCATTTTACTAAGGGTTGATAGTTTAATGGTAAAGCAAATTCATAAACGCAGCTTAATGAGTCAGAACAGTGGTTATTAACTTTTCTTTCTAAATCACCTTATACACTTTGACACAATTCCAGTAAAAATCTTTAATATAGAAAGTTTAAGACAGTAAATGTAATAA